AAACCGAAATCAAAAGATTTTACATGAAACAGTTATGGCAGAACAGTCACCAAAACTGATGAGTGAGTAAATGAGTATGGTTTTACGCCGCTCTTAGCAATATTCCAGCAATATCACGGCGGCGTACATCAGAAATGGGCTTCACACATTGTACCCATGTGGGGAATCGAACCCAGGTCTTCGGCGTGACGAGCGAACGCTTTAAATACAAGGCTACCCCACCGCCCCAAACCCTAATGCCCTAACCTGACATAACATAGAAGGATGACGCTGACACACATCAATAGCCAAACAACCACTGCAGTTAAATCCCTTCAAACCACATTCCTGATGAAGGTTCTACCATGCATCACTGCCGAGACAATCAGTGCAGTTAATGAAACAAAACTGAGCTTTACAGATTCATCATAATAGTTAGCCATTTTATATCCCCCTGTGGTACTTCTTCAGCCGGACAAATCAATAAAATGTTTGCTCAAAGTGTCTGAAATGGGGATTGTATCTAAACAAAGGCTGCTGAATTTGGATACCGCTGGGGAACCCGAGTTAGCTCTGTCGAAAGACCATTGCAGCATTGAGATTTGCATATTTGTTGTTTCATGGGTTGGGTATTGTTTTTGTGGACGTCATCATTTAGATCGGTTCTTTGTTCAGGGTTTGTGCATTGTGAAAAAATGGTACATGTTTGTAACAGGGGTCGATTGGCGCCGACGGTGCGGCTGGGATGGATTCATGACAACGGCTCTTGACGTTGACATGCATGTCAACCTTTCAGGGGCTGCTTTCGTATACAAAATTTGCTCATTCACTAAAATACCACGCATATGAATTGGCACATTCAGTGTCAGTGTTTTCCCCGCTGGAGGTCCATATGGCACCAGTACCCGATGAGTGTCAAAATAACGTTGTGATATATGTGACTGTACGTCAATGGTCTCGACAATATGGATAGCTTTGCTTGCTTTTAACAACTAATTTATCTTCTGAACTCGACCAGAAATGTCAGTCGTGACGCCATACATGTATCATTGCTGATCACCACATGGGTTCTATATATTAAATTATTGATTTAAATGGAGCTAAACTGCGGGCAAACATATACCCAGTGTTTGATAGTAGCTTTATGAAAGGATTATTCAATAGTGATGTATATGATGTACATTGCATGCAACCAGTGAGGATCCGGGTTAGAATTGATCTTCAGCAACCCATGCTTGTCATAAGAGGCGACTAACGGGGTCGGGGGGTCAGGCTCGCTGACTTGGTTGACACATGTCATCGGTTCCCAATTGCGCAGATCGATGTCCATGCTGTTGATCACTGGATTGTCTGGTCCAGACTCGATTATTTACAGAACGCCGCCATATAGCTTGAATATTGCTGAGTGCGGCGTAAAACTCAACTCACTCACTCACTCTTTGCATGCATCATATCAAATGAGTTTCAACATGTATCTGCTTGTAACGTCAACAGGAGTGAGTTGGGGTTTACGCCGCATTTAGCAATATGCCAGCAATATCACGGCGGATGACACCAGAAATTGTACTCATGTGAGGAATCGAACCCGGGTCTTCAGCGTGAAGAGCAGAGGCTTTAACCAATAGGTTACCCACCGCCCCACGTCATAAGGAACACACTAGTAATTATGAGAATGAAACAGTAATTGTCTCGTTCAGTCTGAGTTGGCTCACAGATACCATACTTTCTCTGTAGTGAGTGTGACCACCACGAGTAGCAAAGCCTGCCCGATGACGCAACCACGTTGACGTCATCAACCGCCTCATAACGTCATTGGGAATCTACCGTGCGGGTTCCAGTGGTTGACAGTTCTGTGGTAGATGATCTCACATGTGTTGAATAGGGTTTAAAACTGGTGAGCGAGCTGGTCTTGGAAATACGGAGACACCGAGAACAGCAAAAATCACCTAGTCTTTCCTTCGCTCCTTCGCTCACTTATGTGCGGTTTACGAAGCACATCTTTTGTACATTTTTTATTTACTGTGATGCTTTGTCTGTTTCTCTGTCATCGTATCCCAACTGCGTAGGTCGATGCTCATGCTGTCGATCACTGGATTGTCTTGTACGAACTCGATTATTTACTGACCACCGACATGGAACTTTCATTTATGTGTAGTAAACGGGAAAATCATTTGTACTTTTGGATTTGCTGTGATGGTTTGTTAGTTTCTTTGTAATTGTATCTCAGTTGCTTAGATCAATGCTCATGCTGTTGATCACTGGACTAAATTATTTACAGAGCGCTGCAATATGGCTGAATATTGCTGAGCGCGGCGTTAAACAACAAACAAACAGCCAAATCTAATACCACGTGGTCATAGTCATCCGGCGCCTCGGCTTTAGAAACTAGAAACAGTAATGAAATAAAACATTCATGCAACTGACAAGACACCAGTATTTAGTTTAAACGCATGATCTATTTCTTTAAATATGTTTTGTTTCTATCTCTAGTAAATACAGTACGGTTATAAAGAATTAAATTTGAGCAGAACTGGTATAGGCTTTGTCTCCTTTAAATATTCCCTTTGTCAACGTTTTATATGAGCCTATAACCTTTCATGTAATAAAGAAATCAACTGAATTCATTGATCTTATCTAGGGATTGTTCACACAATACCACAATTCATCAATATTGTGCTATACAGCATTCGCTTACAATCCAATACAGAAATCCCTTGACCCCAGGAGACAAACATTCAATTTTAATCCTCCAAACAATGACGTCCATATTGTCGTCTGCTTGCAGGCCGAAGGGCGGAGACGGGATGACTGGAACGGAGACAAATGGTGCGGAAGCTGCTCCTCCGAACTACACACTGTGCGACCTGTGGACGGAGTTTTGTCAAACAACCGCGATTCATGGATTCAACAAGATCTCCACACCTACTTGTCGATTCACCTTTCGTGGGTAGGTACAAGACCTGAAGTCACATATATACTCGGCGTCATTAATGAAGGGTCAAGGTATTGGTAACACTTTTTCTTAAAAGTTGTAAAATCTTCGTTTTTGTTTGAAATATATACAACTGAATGTTTTACAAACATTCTTGAAAGTATGGAAGAACACATCAGGCCGTTGAAATGTCATTGTTACGTTCTTTGACGTCCGATACATTCTGTTACAAATGGCACATTATTTATTCAAATTGTCAATATGGAAATCCACCTGCCACTTAATGTCAATGATTTGCACGTGCAAGTCGCTCCATCCATGGAAAGTGGAGGACAATACACATGCATAGATGCTTTTTCGCTGTCGTTCCCTGTTCAGTTACCTGTTTGAAATCGCAGCTTAAAATGAGACGTTTTTTGACACTTGCTGAAAGGGATCATACTACAGTACTTTTGGAATCTGGTCAAACTCAGCGGCAGGTTGCTGTCCGCTTTTATGTGAGTCAGAGTGATATTGGTAGACTGTGGCAGAGATTTCATGCTATGTATGGCTTTTACTGTCAACTCTCTTTACTGCAAGACGACTGGCATGCTCGCCAGACCTCAACCCAATAGAGCATGCCTAGGATGTACACACGTCACCCAGCACCAGTGGATCTCCCAGGACTCCACAGAGGTCTAATAGAGGAATGGAATGCGATTCCGCAAGCTTTCTTTATGAACTTGATAAGGAGCATGAGAACAAGGTGCACCTGTGTCAAGATTGGACGCTCGAGGAGGGTACACAAGATATCGAATGACCGAGTGCTTCGTGTTTGTCATTTGAGGGGTTGGTTGCTGTTTGCTAGTGCTGTTTGAACTTTTCATGTGTATGTCACAATGTGTCACGTTTGTAAACACATTAAACATTATGATGACACTCATTATTTTTTGAGAAACTTTTCTTTACATGTGCTATATATCATTTGACCCTTTATTAACGACACCTAGTATATTTAAGTCGACGGGAGTATTTGGTGAAACGTAGCACGTGTTCTTCCTCTGGTGTTAAGCAGCAACTCCTACTGCTGAACAAACTCTTCCAGGACCGGACCCAGTTTCGCAAAGCGGTGTCTGCACTAACATACTTCTTTTTAAATATACGTGTGATAACAACGTTAGGAAGGCTTTGTGCAGTGGATCTTAATCCACCCCAATAGTTTACACATATTTATTAGACTGAATCCAATAAAGATACGTCTTTCCAGAAAGGCCATGTCTTTCCTAATGAATAAAATATTGATATCTGATGCAGCGTCAAGCATTAATTTATATTTGTGGCTACCGTAAAGAGCGCCCTTGACCTTGTGCATGAACAAAATCATCCTTCTTGACGAAATACGTCTTGATTCAATTCGGTAAAATTCTGGTATCTCCCAATTCTAATCCTGTGAAGTTTGTGATAACTCTTATTGCATATCACATGGATTACTGGTTGATGGACGGATTGACTGTTCGGGTAGGTGGCCCTCGATATGACGAGCAAACGCTTTTATAGATTTGGCTTCATTACCTCTAACCCGTGAAGAACAGGACTGGAACTGTTCTCCGTCAACCCATACTTGTCTTAAGAGTCTGAGGTGTTGACATGTGTCAACCAAGTCAGCGAGCCTGACCACCCGATCCCTTCTGACCGTCAGCATGGGTTGCTGAAGACCACAGTTCTAAAGTGCATCTTCACGGGTTCGTCGGCCAAGAGGCTTTGATCACTGACTGATAAACCAGACAACCTTCGTAAACCCTCTGTAGTTGGTGGACGTTGGTGATGCTCTTATGTTAGGTGTTACGGGAGAAAACGCCATGTATAATGAGTGAATGAGTTTAGTTTTACGCCGCTTTTAGCAATTTTCCAGCAATATCACGGCAGGGGACACCAGAAATGGGCTTCACACATTGTACCCATGTGTGTCTTCGGCGTGACGAGCGAACGCTTTAACCATTAGACTACCCCTCCACCCCTACATGTATAATGAACTCGCCATGTTTCTATATTCAGAATACTTTGGACATTGGCTGTATGTGGTGCTACGGGGTTCCTCATCTTCAACCTGATGAGCGAGATTGGGGATTACTACAGCTACCCTATCGCCACTAAGGTTACAAACAAGATCAGGAACACCATTGAATTTCCCGCCGTCACCATCTGCAACAGATGCACCCTCAACAAGACACGTCTTGCGTCTTACCCCGATCTTGAGTCATATTTCCGTGACTCAAGCCTGCAACAAAAGTCCAGCGGCGTATATAATTTCGACGATATTGATGACGGTATCATGCTGCAGCCGTTGTCGTTAGACTGGTGGACCAACATGTCGATGGATGCCTCTTCGTTGTTTCATCTGTGTTATTTCGGAGGAGAGAGTATCGACTGTTCAAGCAATTTCCTACCTGTGTTCACCAACGAGGGTCTCTGTCATACCTTCAACTTCAACGCCAGTGACATTGTCAACGTGAAGAACTCCGGCAACGGTGCCAACCTAATCATAAACTACAACATTGCCCAGCAGTATTACACTTTCAGAGAAAACATGGCGGCCGGGATAAAGGTAAGACTGATGACTAACGTCTCTCATGAAATCGGCTGGTGGGGCTTTCTTTTTGCTGCCCAGTGCTAGACAGTTTTCCACTCATAATCACCTAATTGTGATTCTTAGAGAGAATGTTATTATTAAATGTCGACTGCGTAATGAATTCGCTGAGACTGTTCAACACATTGTCAGTGGGTGTCCTTCCTTGGCACAAACAGAATACAAATGTACCTTAAACGACACGCTGCCATTGCTCTTTGGTCCATCCATGTTACCAACCTGAAAATGTCATGGAAAAAGAAGCTTGTAAACGTCTTTGGAATAAGTCCATTTACAACCTACGGAAAACTCCGGACAAACATGATTTTGTCCTTTTTCATAAAATAATAAATGAGTTATTTATGTTATTGAATTTTCTGTCCCTTTTGAAAGCAATGTGATTGGCAGGATTCAGGAAAAGCATGATAAATATGCGGATCTCGCCTTTGAAATGTTACGTTTGCATTCTTCAAACCATGCCCCTATGTTCCTGGTGTACCTGGATTGGTACCTCTTGATCTATTGCGAAAGTGGGGTAGCCTAGTGGTTAAAGCGTTCGTTCGTCACGCCGAAAACCCATGTTCGATTCCCCATCTGGGTAAAATGTGTGAATCCATTTCTGTGATATTGCTGGAATATTGCTAAAAGCGGCGTAAAACTTAACTAACTCACTCACTCACTCACTCAATAAGGAGCGTACCGGGGCTTCCCACTTGGAGCAAATCTCTTCAGCATCTCTGGGACATGCAGAAGGTTGTTGTTTTGGAGAGTGTTCACTTCCTCCTTCTTGATGGTTCGACTGGGAAGCGCTTCCTGGGAGAAGTCCCATTCGCTGTTTGGGCTGCGTGTAGAAGGGGCAAGGTCCCTGAACTGACGATCTCAATCAGCCTGACTGTGCCAGGATCAGCCCAACATTCTTTACTGCTTTTATTTATCTGAATCTGTAAATAACAAAAACAAATTGTTACTGAGAGAATGCATCCGTGACTGAGTGAATAGAGTCCTGTTGTGTCTGTACCAATGATTCGATGGCCAACTCATCCCAAAGTACGTTAAAAAATGGTACTTATTGCTACCCCGCCTGACGGTGACTTTAGTTTTACGTCGCTTTTAGCAATATTCCAGCAATATCACGGAGGGGACATAACAAAATGGGCTTCACACATTGTACCATGTGGGGAATCGAACCCGGGTCTTCGGCGTGACGAACCACTAGGCTACCCCCACCGCCCCCATCATACGTGGATGTGCCGATAATATTTGATTACTTCCGTTGATTAACGGTCGTTAAAATATTATTCAAACATTTTGTCCTGACATCGAACTGATCAGTTACATCAGATGATTTTGAAAAAATGCTTCGATAATATCAGTCAGTGAGAAAGCTTCATTTAGACCCAATTTCGCCCCCAAACAAATATATGTATCCCGCTTCTGAAAGAAATCAAACAAAAAATAGTCTTTTAACACCTTTCAACAATTCATTGTTGAGTAATTATTCATTTCATCAGACACATTTGACTACATTCATGGAATTGTTTTGCTTCAAACATGCAGTGAAGTTAAATACATTCAAGCTGTTCAATATGCGCATTATGTAACGTTATTCGTCCCACTGGTTGTTTAAATAATGAGCACAATGTTTACAGTGTGTCCGACTTTGTAATTCAGGGACGGGTTCATAAGGGAATTGTCAATATACGTGTACACTCTTACTTAGGGCAGCATACAGTGAAGCCGAATTGTCCATTAAAGCCATTCGTCAACAAACTTGATCAAACAAGAGACCCGCCTGATCGTGATGGAACCAGTATGATTCTGTTTGCGTTTTAGTCTGTTTTTGTTTTGTTTGAAACATCATATGGGATATTTAGACTCGGCAAATTTGTACTTTCGAATAGAAATAGTATGTGAGACAGGTATGCGCATATTGCATGACCAGTGTTACCCTTATCATCTTCTTCATCATCATCATCATCATCATCATCATCATCATCATCATCATCATCGGCAGCAACTCTACATAACTGGTGCACATAAAGGCTGTTCCTATTCGACTGTGTTCTACTGCTGACAAACGCTTATCACATGACAGTGTTTCACTGTTGCTAGGCTTCCTACATAAAAGCGTATCACGGATGGTAATAGCTTCCTACATGACACTGTTTCACTGTTAGTGAAGGCTTCCTACTTGACGGTGTATCACTGATGCTAGGCTTCCTACATAACAGCGTATCACTGATGGTAATAGCTTCCTACATGACAGTGTGTCACTGATGACAAAGGCTTCCTACATGACACTGTATCACTGTTGCTAGGCTTCCTACATGCCAGTGTATCAAAGTTGTTAATAGCTTCCTACATGACACTGTATCACTGTTGGTAAAGGCTTCCTACATGACACTGTATCACTGATGACAAAGGCTCCCTACATGACAGTGTATCACTGTTGGTAAAGGCTCCCTACATGACACTGTATCACTGTTGGTAAAGGCTTCCTACATGACACTGTATCACTGTTGGTAAAAGCTCCCTACATGACACTGTATCCCTGTTGGTAAAGGCTTCCTACATGACACTGTATCACTGTTGGTTAAGGCTTCCTACATGAGGGTGTATCACTGTTGGTAAAGGCTCCCTACATGACACTGTATCACTGTTGGTAAAGGCTTCCTACATGACACTGTATCACTGTTGGTAAAGGCTCCCTACATGACACTGTATCACTGTTGGTAAAGGCTTCCTACATGAGGGTGTATCACTGTTGGTAAAGGCTTCCTACATGACACTGTATCACTGTTGGTAAAGGCTCCCTACATGACACTGTATCACTGTTGGTAAAGGCTCCCTACATGACACTGTATCACTGTTGATAAAGGCTTCCTACATGACACTGTATCATTGTTGGTAAAGGCTCCCTACATGACACTGTATCACTGTTGGTAAAGGCTCCCTACATGACACTGTATCACTGTTGGTAAAGGCTTCCTACATGCCAGTGTATCACTGTTGGTAAAGGCTTCCTACATGCCAGTGTATCACTGTTGGTAAAGGCTTCCTACATGCCAGTGTATCACTGTTGGTAAAGGCTTCCTACATGACACTGTATCACTGTTGGTAAAGGCTCCCTACATGACACTGTATCACTGTTGGTAAAGGCTTCCTACATGCCAGTGTATCACTGTTGGTAAAGGCTTCCTACATGCCAGTGTATCACTGTTGGTAAAGGCTCCCTACATGACACTGTATCACTGTTGGTAAAGGCTTCCTACATGACGGTGTATCACTGTTGGTAAAGGCTTCCTACATGACAGTGTATCACTGATGACAAAGGCTCCCTACATGACAGTGTATCACTGTTGGTAAAGGCTCCCTACATGACACTGTATCACTGTTGGTAAAGGCTTCCTACATGACGGTGTATCACTGTTGGTAAAGGCTTCCTACATGACAGTGTATCACTGATGACAAAGGCTCCCTACATGGCACTGTATCACTGTTGGTAAAAGCTCCCTACATGAGGGTGTATCACTGTTGGTAAAGGCTCCCTACATGACACTGTATCACTGTTGGTAAAGGCTCCCTACATGAGGGTGTATCACTGTTGGTAAAAGCTTCCTACATGAGGGTGTATAACTGATGCTAGGCTTCGTACAAGCCGGTGTATCACTGTTGGTAAAGGCTTCCTTCATGACACTGTATCACTGTTGATAAAGGCTTCCTACATGACAGTGTATCACTGATGACAAAGGCTCCCTACATGCCAGTGTATCACTGTTGGTAAAGGCTTCCTACATGACACTGTATCACTGTTGGTAAAGGCTCCCTACATGACACTGTATCACTGTTTGTAAAAGCTCCCTACATGAGGGTGTATCACTGTTGGTAAAGGCTCCCTACATGACACTGTATCACTGTTGGTAAAGGCTCCCTACATGACACTGTATCACTGTTGGTAAAGGCTTCCTACATGAGGGTGTATAACTGATGCTAGGCTTCGTACAAGCCAGTGTATCACTGTTGGTAAAGGCTTCCTACATGACACTGTATCACTGATGACAAAGGCTTCCTTCATGACACTGTATCACTGTTGGTAAAGGCTCCCTACATGACACTGTGTCACTGTTGGTAAAGGCTCCCTACATGTCACTGTATCACTGTTGGTAAAGGCTTCCTACATGACACTGTATCACTGTTGGTAAAGGCTCCCTACATGACACTGTATCACTGTTGGTAAAGGCTCCCTACATGACACTGTATCACTGTTGTTAAAGGCTCCTTACATGACACTGTATCACTGATGACAAAGTCTTCCTTCATGACACTGTATCACTGATGGTAAAGGCTTCCTACATAACAGTGTATCACTGATGACGAAGGCTCCCTACATGACACTGTATCACGGTTGGTAAAGGCTTCCTACATGACATTGTGTCACTGATGGTAGACTTCCTACATGGCGGTGTATCACTGATGCGAGGCTTCTACATGACAGTGTATCACTAATGCGAGGCTTCTACATGACAGTGTATCACTGATAATGATATAGGCTGATATTAATTATCCGTGTGTCTAGATATAGTGTAACATGTCAAGCAAACCAGTAACGATTGTCCACCATGTAAATATAAAATGTCAACGCCAGAAAATAACTTGGATTATCCTACGAATCAGAGCAGAAAACCCTTCTTAAAACTTGTGTACATATTTGAATGGATACTGAAAATCGGCCCTGACACCCGGTGGTCGCTGAAAGAGTAAGCATGACCTTCACTAAAACTACCATAACAATTGAAAAGGTTTTCCCTTGTTCTAATGTATCGGATATCACTCGTCTTTTCACGGTGTTAAACTCCACACAAATCCCTGATATCTGAGACCGTTTCAGACGTCGCCTGTGGACAGTACATCAAGTAAGGTATTGAAACCATACCCTGCTTTCTAATGCATGGTAATCTGAAGCGCACACGGACATCATA